AAAAACATTTAATGGCACTAATTAAATAAATAAAGTAAGTTTTCTAGATGTTTGCTATTAGGTTTACAGATATGGGGGTAAAATGTTTATAATCTTAAAACATTATTTAAAAAATTCCATGTCAATTCTTTAACATTTTTTAACAAATTACCCGAGAAACCCCAGGGCAAATTGGGCTAACTTGAAACGTTAATAACTTTTTTATTTTAAACGTAACATTTGACATGGAATCTTTTAAACAATGTTTTAAGATTCCAAAAATTCCACCCCCATTTCTGAAAACCTAATAGCAAGAAAGTTATAGGCTATTTTTGATTGACGCGCATTTGTCATATTTTAACGGAAAAAATTAATAAATCCAAAACTACTTACAGTAATTTTACTTCAAATTTTATGTAGAATTTAAAAATGTAAAAATATATGGGGTGTTCCATTTAAAATAACATAGTTAATGTCACTTTCGGTCAAGCCGGAAGTGGCATTTTGTTTAAAATATTTTAGAAAAATAGGCCTAATTGGATAATAAACGCTTTACAAATTTCAAATCGATATCTTTTGCCGTTCCTCAAAAACTCTCAATGGACCACGAACGTGAAACACTCATTACCGTATTTCGTAAATGTGCAACACCCTGTATATAATTAAAATAATTTTAAAATAAATAAATAATCTTAATGGTTGTGGTGAATAAATTTTTCATAAAAATATACTGTCCAGCTGTTATCGAATCTGTTATTATATATTATGTGCCGAATACATTTTATTGGATCGCACTTAAAAAAATATGACGTGATCTGAAAAAACGCCGAGACACGTGTATCATTTTTTTAAGTCTATTATCAAAATCTATGTATCCAGATTAACATATTAATAAATTAGGGGGTTAATATGAAGCACAGCAAAGTCCAATATGAGTCCAGTTGAAATGATTAAGTAAAAATATCGTTCCTAATATTTTTTAAGGGAATATTTTAATACGGACTCTGCGGGGTGATACATTAGCCCCCTACAATATTTATATTTAGGTTTTTAAATATAAAAAAAATTAATAAATGTTTTATATTTACTTTATCTATAGTGTTCACAAAAAGAATTTTGCTAAATCACAAAATTTTAAAAATGGTAAATTAACACTGGTCGACAAATTAAAACTTTTTGTTTGCCTTTTGACCATAATTTTGTTCCATCAGATTTTGTTTATTGAAATATTGTAAACAGATAATTTTTTTCGAAATTTTAAAAGAAACCTTTAATAATTCTTAAATTATAATTTAAGAATTAATAAAATAATATTAATTTTCCTAATAAACTTGGTAAAAGTCTTTATAATGTTTTTTTGTAAATGTATCGTTTTACAGTAAAATTGCAATTCCAATTAAATGTTATTAAATTCCGTGGCATTCCGTCCTGCTATAAATTACTAAGAATTAATTAATTAATCAAAGTTTTCCTTTTTTTTAATCCATTGTTAATTTCAGAAATGTAAAAAATAAAATTTAAATCTCTAAAAAGAGCATATGGAAAATATGATTAAATTTAATAACAGTAAATTGGTGTTTCAATGTTACTGTGAAACGATACATTTAACAAAAAAATAACTTTTTTAAATTGACTGTTTATTTTAAAACAATTTTTTTTTAAATCATTGGAGTAACTTTTTTTGTTTTAAAAAGATATATTATTACCACTGCTTGTAGTATAAAAACATTTCCCACCAAATTAAAAAATCATACTCATCCATGTGCTGTAAATTAATTTTTTATTCTAAAAAATATATGCAACTTAATCCCTTGGATGTTGAATTTTTAAAATAATATTATTAAGAAAATTAATATTATTTTAACGTTTTTCATTGATTCTTAAATTATTATTGGTTACTTTTGGACCACCGTGTATATTTTTTAAAAATACTCCAACCGATACGAGAAGCATTGGTAATGCAGATATGGGTCCTAATTAAACTGAAAAAAAATTAAATTATACCCATTAATAAAGTCCTGTATTAATAAAGTCCTGTATTAAACAAAATAAAATCGTTCTTTAGTCAAAACTTGACAATTTTTTAAATTTAAAGTGATTTTTTTAGATTTTAATAAAATTTACAAAATTAATAGCTTCATCTATATACTTTATTGTGTTAAAATTTCAACGCAATAAAATAAAAATTGGCAAAATGGCACTTAAAGCGTTTTAAAATTAATATTTACGTCAATTTTGCTCCTGACGCTTGTACGATTTCTTAAAATAAAATATGTAGGCAACAGTAATTAATAAATTTTTGATTACGCAATATTTCTTAAAAAAATACGTTAAAGTAAACTGATAAAAATAATGGTAAATTTAATAATTATTTACTATTAAAAAGTACAGTAAAATTACCATTTTTAGTTTAGAGATTGACAATTATTATATAAGTATATACTAAATCAGGATATTTACATAATTCTTAGTATTTTATTGTAAATGGGATTCACAACGTTGAACGTATGAAGAATAATACGAAAATAGGGATTAAATGCAAATTTAAGTCGCGTGATCGCCGCGTGGCAACAAAACAGGTGGATAGCGCTGTTCTTATTGGACAATTCGTACGCGTTGGCTTGGTGAAAACCGGCAACGTTGCGGGCTAAACAAGAACCGTCTGCTTGGTTTTTACATAAACGAGGGATGAATAACGTACTATATATATCTTATGGGCTTTACAACGTACCATAAATAAAGAGATCATTAAATTAACTTATATATTTACCCCTCTTGGTATTTCCTAAATTAAATTATGTTAAAAAACACTTAGCAAAGATATATACTCGTCTAACCACGTTAGAAATGGTGGGTGGCAGAGCGCCCCAATAGTATCTCGGGCTAAACAACATACCAATTATACGTATATATATATATATATATATATATATATCTATAGCATGAATTTCCAGAGGATGAGGCTAGCAAACATTACAGACCAAAATAAAATCGTTTAAGAAACAAAAAAGTTATGTCGTCTTGAAAAAGAACGAACTTTTTGGTCGCGACACATTGAGTGGTGCGCAGTTTATATGGTAATAATTTTTTCACACCCAAACCATACTGGGCCAGATAGAGCAATATGAACCTATATGGCAATCCATATAGAAATCACTTTTCTATATGGTTTTCCAGGTATGGAATTCTATCTGGTTCAATATATTGCAATGCCTTTTTCAAATTCCTATATTAAACCAGATAGATTTTTATTTTGTGTTTCTATATGGCATTTTTAATAGGGTGGGACGTCACAATGCAAGTTTGTATCCCTATGGAGACGAAAATGTGGCAAGTACCCGTTCGAAATTTCTCTGATGACTTATAGGCGATGAGTCATCGCTTGTTTACGGAGCTAAAACGTGGCCAAAACTCAATTTTGTTCATTTTTTTTACTAGATCTAAGCGTCTTAAAGCAGATAGATTACATGGCTACATCTTGCTACCTGAACTGGCCATCCCAGTCCGCGGTACCAACAGCTAGAACTTAGCGCTCCTTTAAATCGTACGTCTTCGTTCGCGACACTCCACAAAACACACACATTTTCGCCGTGTTGCTTCTTATGTTAAAAGTGATTTTGGTGGAAAAAGTTGATATGGATATCGTCAATCAAGGTATGTACAATATTTTGAACAACATTTTATTTGTCATATCATCAATCTAAATTTTTCTCGTCTTTTAAAACAAACTTTTTTATTTTTAAATATATGCAACACCTCGCAACGGCATCCGACCCACGTTTTATAAACTTCAGGACATCTAGAATAACTATAGCAATCAAAAACATTGACAAGTTTTCAAATCACGGAAAAATTTACCCTTGAAAACAGACACTTTAGTGCGATCTTTTATAGATTTTTGGGTAGATGGATACATTTTTTATTTTTTAAAGAAAACAAAATATTTAATATATGTTTAATTTTAATATTTTTATTGTATTACTGTCATGTAAGTAGCTACTTTGAAATTTTTTTATAAATAAATTTTTGAATATATATATTTTTTATTTCTATTAAAAATACTTATCACTTGTATACCTTTAGAAATATGTTTTGTACCCATTTGATACAGAAAAAGTGCCCAAATATTTTTGGCCAAGTTTTAAATACCTGTCAAAATACATAAATAATTAGTAGTTTTTTAGGGTTTTCATTTTATATGAGTTATATCTTTTTTTAAAAGCATGCGCGGGAAATTTGAAATTATCACTAAACCCGGCATTATGCAGGCGCTATGCGGACAGCGGGAAAATTTGAATGTTTGAAATATATATTTAAAGCATTTAAATTTCCCGCTCTTGTAATGCAATTCTGATTTGCGCATGCGCATTAGCCCCATTTAGGTCGGTTGTCACGTCGTGATTACACAGAGCACAAGAGCATCAGACAGACACAGTGGTGTCACGAAAATCACAACGTGGCATCATATGATGTCACTGGGCTTTCTTGAACGTTTACTGGGAAGTGGTTAATTTTAAGTTACATTTTATTTCTGCCAGGTTTTAAGGGTCCCTGCCTTAGTGTGCGGCAGCCGAATACTCGGCGTGACGAGTTAATAATAGCGGGCGTCACAGTAAGTATTTGTAAGTAATCGACGACCTATAATAATTTAATTTTAATTATTTGTCGTTTGATAACTTTAATTGTTTGTTGGGTGAAAAAAACAATTGCAAAATGTCATCTGTTAAAAAAGGATCACCGACTACGCATTATTTTGAATTTTTTAGTTAAAAATAAGCGGTGTCCATAAATACATAAGCTATTCAATAGCCTATTGTGATCTTTACCTTACAAGTATTTATGTATTGTAGTTTTTGAATATCTGGTAACCGGCCGAATAATGACTTACTAACCGGTATCCGGTCGTATACCATTAGAGATGAAACGTTTCATCTCTAATGTGTACCTGTTATGGAATACTGTATTCTCTTGAGGTTTAAAAAAATTAAAAAACATTTTCTAAAATACACATTTATTTTTAGTAATGGAAGTTTGTTGTCAAGAATATGGAGATTTTCAAGATAAAATGGTGTCCGCTATAGACAATGGCAGATGCATAAATAGAGAATCACACCCCTCCATTGCCGCAATACACAACACTGAAGTTGAAAATATTCAGGAGGTCGAAACGACTGAATTTTTAGACACGATTTATCAACAAGATGACAATGTTCGATGGTTAGATCAATTTAAAATTCTGTTACTTAGGATGTGGCTGCAAATGTGGAGGGACAAAGTAAGTTTATGAACAACTTTATAACAAGGTCGGAAAGTGACTTGTAACATTACGAGTTGAAAATGATCTAACAGAGTATTGTTACAAAACTTTTCGGCCATGTAGGTATCGTTTAACATTTTATTTCACAATGGTATTTTGATTTTTGTTTATTTTTAAAACAAATGAGTATGAGTATAAGGAACGTATGGAAGGCCCCATCGGCAACAGTTTTCCTACGTATCCCGCCACTGCACAGCATTACCTGTGTTTGGTGGATCCGAATGGTAAATCTCGATGGTTAAGGCCACTCCCGGAATTTAGTCGCCGGGCCGGGCCATACGCCCAATTTGGGCTAGAGGAGTACGGGACAAGGAGGGAAAACATTTTGGTTTTTGAGGGACATAAACTGACCCAAAACTAAGCACAATCCGGAGTCACCCTCAACCAGGGATTTAGTAATAAACTTGTTCATTTTTAAATCAAATAAAAGAAATTTTTAAAAATACCTTAACATGTTATATAACTCATTTCCCAGAAATAAAACAAGTGCAGAATAAAACAATTAAAATATTATCATATTCACAATATGCAAATGTGTCATTTTAGTAGATATAATAATTTAACTTATTTTTTTGTTGTAGAATTTTATAATGATGAAATGTGCTCTACATGTTGTCCTAGGATTATTAGTTGGAACTATGTATATTGGAATGGGAAACGATGGGTCAAAAACGATATTTAATTTTGGATTTTATTTTTGCTGTCTCATCTTCTTTATGTATATCCCAATGATGCCTGTACTTTCAAATTGTAAGTAGGTACCTATACATTTTTGGTGTATTAATTGAATGGTGTTATGCAACATGAAATAACCCCTTACTGAGATAATAGCGTCAGAAAATGCATGTGGTTTCTTCATTACTTTAGTGTTAATTGTAGGTTCAACGTTTTATTTCTAAATCGCTAATTTCCTACCAGAGCTGGGCAGTAGCTAGCTACCAAGTAGTTAAGCTATTAACTTAGATACTTTTTTGGCAGCTGTTACCTTAAAAAGTACCTACCTAGTTACTAAAACAAGCTACTCGAGCTACGTTTAGTAGGGTAAGCCAAAGATAATAATATCTTTGGGTTAAGCTAATTTTGTTAGTAGCTGAATTTAGTATGTATTGTTAAAAGTGAACTTTCAGTATTTAATTTTAAATACTACAATGTTATTTGTACTAATAATAATAATAATTTAATTTCTTTATCGAATCATATTATTTGGTCTGTGTTTGGTACAGTTGTATTCATTAAAAAAGCGTACAAGAATTAGAATGAGAGAAAACTGTCAACATTATTGCGTAAAACTGGCTTTCCACTGACTTAAGTCACTATAACTGACAGTAGAAAAGAAAAATGCCTCGTCAGTTATCTCAAGTTAAAAAGGCTCAAATAGTATCAACAATCGAAGAAGAATGGTCAATTCGTGATGTGGCGCAGTTGTATAATAGAAATAAAAAATCTATATTAAAAATTAAGCAACGCTGGGAACAGGAAGATTTACTAAACCAAAAAGTTACTTCAGGTCGTCCCAGAATGTCCACCCCTGAACAGGATGCTGCTTTTTTGGAATATTTAAGAAATAATCCAAATAAATTGGCTCGAGTAATAGAAAAACAGTGATACATGGCTAAATATAAAAAAAAAATTAATGTTTGTTTTTTTTCATTTCTAATAGGTAATAATTTTTGTAATATTATTTAATTAACCTACGACGTCAATGCTCTTTATAACCTATAGTAATTATTTTAATGACTTATGTCAGTGATAAGCTGGTTTTAAGCAATAATATTATTGTGACAGTTTTCTCCATAGGTTTTTCTATGGTTTTCTCTCATTCTAATTCTTGTACGCTTTTTTATTGAATACAACTGTACATGGCAATTATGTGTAAAAGATTATATTGAAAAAATCGAAAAAAGGCTTTGACGGCACAATTCCACTAGATGGTTCAAATTTTTAATATAAATATACGAGGGTGGTTCAAATATAAACCGGAATTTTTTAATAAACGCGCTAAAAATTTAGTATCGTAAAAGTGGCTGCACTGGATGTTAGACTGGTCTGTTACGAAGCGTAGAGAACAGCCGGGACTGCGTAACCTTGCTTTTCAGTGTAGTTATAGCCATGAGCGAGAAGGATGTACCAGTGTCTGTTGCGCAACGCATCATTATTCGTATTTTGGTCAAAGATAATGTAAAATCCGCGGAAATTTATCAAAAATTACTCGAGCAGTTCGGGGATGAGTGCCTCTCCAAGACTCAAGTGTATGAATGGTGTTCCGCTTTGCGAAAAGGCCGAAAAGTGGTGGTAAACTTGCCATATGCGCGGCGCCCCACAACAAGTGTTACAGATGAGAACGTCAGCGCTGTAGAAAAACTCCTTTTGGAAGATTGGAAGACCGACGCAGTACTGTACGCGATATGGCTGAAGAATTGGGCATCAGCGTAGGTAGTATTGAGCAAATAATTCATAAACGGCTCGGTTACCGCAAAATTTCAGCCAGATGGGTGCCAAGACTTCTGAATTTTGATCAGAAATTCACACGCTGGGAAGTTTGATGAAAACATTGAACGAATTGGGTTGGGAAACACTGGAACACCCTTCTTATAGTCCCGATTTGTCGCCATGCGACTAGTATTTGTTCGGTCCATTGAAAGAGGCACTTGGCGGACTGCGATTCGAAAGCAATGCGGAGGTAGAATACTTCGTGCGCGAATGGTTACGTGACAAGCCGAGAGATTTTTACTAACAATTCATTCGAAAGCTTCCGGAGAGGTGGCAAAAATGTGTTACTCTACACTGTAGAGTGTGACGGAGACAATCTAGAAAAATTGTAAAAAATTTCAGCTCTGTAACTTAATAATAAAAAATTTTATAGCAAAATTCCGGTTTATATTTGAACCACCCTCGTATATATATATATATATATATATATATATATATATATATATATAACTGGGCCTCCAGCATACACGTATGGGGGAGGACTTGAACTATCCACAACTCATGCTCGGGACCGTTTAATTGTCCTGACTGCCAGAAGATAATGAACATTTACAGCTTCAAGAATTAACAGTTTCATTAGGCAAGCTAGTAGAAGAATAATTTCTTCTTAAACTGTCAGAAGAAGGTTGCATGCATCTAACTTAAAAGCAGACGAGCTACACATCCTCGGTCAGAGTTAATGTAAAAATAATGCAATCGTCATTTTTATTTTTAATGGTAATGTAGTTTAAACACATTAATCATTAAAAAAATTATGAGAATATTTTAATTGCTCATTAAAAAATTAAATAGTATGTCGAACATTACTCATTAAAAAATAAAAATTGAGTAATAAGAGATAGTATATTACACATTAAAACGAAAGATATTACCCATTACATCAGTGAAAAATATTCAGGGGTGGGGGTTGATGGGCTCCTTAAACTTTTTTAAACATACAAATGATTTACAATGAAAGAAGCTGCAAACAAATATCTAACAAGATTAATAATTTTCATAAAATTTAATCCATTCCTTCAATAAAGGTGACTATTAAAATAAAAAATAAACAATTATTTCTAATGAAATTGATTACTTTTAAATGAAAATTAATTTATTTAACATATATCAGTTAACAGGATAAAATTGTAGTTATTTTTCAAAATATTCTTCAATAGAATAAAAACTTCTTTCTTTTAGATACGAGGATACAGCATTTTTAAATGTATAAAAGTTTTTAAATTTTATATGACTTCTCATAGATATCGGGATATGGTTATAGAACCAATAATTATGCCATTTGCAGGTGCAATAGGCGAAAGATTTATTTGTATCGACCATAATGCCCGCTCTCATCGTGTATGGCTTGTAAACGATCGAATAGAATATCATGTCATTACGAGAATGGAATGGCCAGCATGTTCACCAGACATGAATTGCATTGAACACGTTTGGGCGTGATCATGAGTCTTCTAAATAGGATAACAGCATTAGTCGAGTCAGGGGTGGTCCTACACGATATTAAACTTTTATACAGCTGGTGCGAATAGCAGGATAAAAAAACTTTCGTTTTGTTACTTTTCTTATATTTGTATTTTTTACTATATTAATATTTAGAGAAATAACACAGAAAAAACTTTTTTTAGTTGGTTTTTTTATCTTGGAAAATGTTTAGTTCCCTGAATTAAAATTAATATACAGGGTGTTTCTTTTAACTTGAGACAGCTCAATATCTCGAGAAATACGCATTTTACGGAAAAATGTCTTAAATAAAAGGTTAATGTGACCAAAGGGGACATTATTTGGTGCTACCGCTAGCCACCCCCTACCCCTCCTTAAGGGTGAAACGGGGGGTAACTTTGGAAAGTCAAATGGAATGACCCGATTTTTTTTATAGAGGTTGGTAGTACATAAAAAAATGAATAACTTTTATTTGAAAGTTTTTTTCAATTTATCAACAGATGGCGCTGTAATTCAAAATTTAAGAAAAAGGGTTTCCTTGTAAAATGTATTATTTGAAACGTTTGAAAAACAAAATTAACATTAAATCAACAATAGTCGGCTCTGAAAACAATTTAGGTATAACAAATGTTCGAAATGTCGTACTTCCATTTCGACACCAAGTGGAGCACCAGCGTCCCTGGTCGGTAAACGTTTGGTGCGGTACCTTAAGCGAACGATTAATCGGACCCTTCTTTATTGACGGTGCATTAAATGGCGAAAAGTACCGGAATTTTCTAGAAAACGATCTGACGGACCTTTTGGAGGATGTACCACTAGCACGGCTCCAAAACATGTGGTACCAGCAAGATGGTTGTCCTGCACATTATTCGACAATTGCTCGAGAGGTGTTGGATCGGGAGTTCAATGGCCGGTGCACCGCGGTGGATCGGCAGACGTGGTCCAGTAATTTGGCCTGCTCGATCACCTGATCTTACGCCACCAGACTTCTTCCAGTGGGGTTACTTGAAAGAAAAAGTTTACGCTGCAATTCCTACAACTTGGGAGGAAATGGTGGAGCGGATCAGGAACGCCTGTGCGGCGATACCGCCCGATATGTTGGCGCGTTGTGTGCCAGAATTCATTACCCGCATTCAAAAATGTGTTGAAATGGAATGACGACATTTCGAACATTTGTTATAAATTGTTTTCATAGCCGACTATTGTTGTTAATGTTAATTTTTGTTTTTCAAACGTTTCAAATAATACATTTTACAAGGAAACTCATTTTTCTTAAATTTTGAATTACAGCGCCATCTGTTGATAAATTGAAAAAAGTTTTAAATAAAAGTTATTTATTTTTTTATGTACTACCAAACTCTGTGAAAAAAATCGGGTCATTCCATTTGACTTTCCAAAGTTACCCCCCGTTTCACCCTTAAGGAGGGGTAGGGGGTGGCTAGCGGTAGCACCAAATAATGTCCCCTTTAGTCACATTAACCTTTTATTTAAAACATTTTTCCGTGAAATGCGTATTTCTAGAGATATTGAGCTGTCTCAAGTTAAAAGAAACACCCTGTATTTGTTTTAAAATTTTCACGCTCTACAAGAAAGGCCAAACTAAAAATTTATGATATTAAGACATTGACAATTTTAAAAACATTTAATTTTAAACGAGCAATTCTTATATAAATTTAAATATAAACATATTTTATTTAGATGTTTTTGGGGTCACTGATTACGAATTTGATCCATTTTTTCCAAAAAAAAAATATGAACATTAAAAAAAAAAATATTTAATGATTTAGATCAAATTTTGTATTTTTAAATTATTAAACGCAATAAGATTGCTTTATAACAATTAAATGTTTAATATTATTAACATAAAATTAAATATCTAGAAATATGGTATAGAATATCAATCAGAAGTTTGTAAAAATTGATCATTGATGTTAATTTTAAATGATATTTAGTGAAAACGAAATTATGAAATTTTATCATCTATTTAAATAATTTAATTAATGTTAATGTTAATAATAATTAATAATTAATTATTGTTCTAAAGAATTTTTATCGCGTTTGAGAATATAAAAATACAAAATTTGATCTAAATCATTGGAGAAGTCGGAACATTTTTTGGTAAAATATCCTCCATTTGGATCCGCAATTTTGTTTTTGAAAAAATGGATATCAAATTTGTAATCAGCGGCCTCAAAAACAACATGTTGCCAAATTTGGGCGATTTTTGGAAAAATACCCACCATATCGCATCCGCCATTTTGTTAAAAAATTGGATATAGGTACAAATCTTAATCCGCCACCCTAAAAATATTTAAAGTCGTTTGCAAAACATCAATTATACTTATATTTATACAAGAACTGCTTGTTTAAATGAGAATGATTTGTTTGAGCGTTGAGTCAATGCTTGTCATGTCTTGATATCATTGGAACGACTCAAACTACGCAAATCTTTAATTATACCTTTCTTGTAGAGCATAACATTTTCTTAAAAAATATATTAATTTTACATTTGGACAATATTATCTCTCATACAAATTGCCATGTACCACACAGCAAACGGAAAATTATAGAAGTGTATAGGATGACTCCGCGTTTGAATATCAAATCTTAAAGTTTTATCATAACTGTATTGAATCGTGCTTTGTTTTTATATTTTTCGGCTCTATACCTATGCACGACTATATTTAAAGTCAAACTAAATGGTGATTTTCTATATTCAACAGAGGAGTAGAAACTCGACCCTGTCGAATGGTGCAGTCATTTATGTCTCTAGAAATTATTAAAAAAGTCCAATGGTGCAGCAACTTCGGATTCCTATTCTCCTCAGAGACATAGAAACTCAAGCTTTTCGAATTTTACTGGCAATGATTTTCGTTAATGTCCCCGAGAATTATACAAAAACAGCGCAATGCAATATCGCAACGGTTTCGACTTCTCTTTACTCTACCAAGTTATAGAAATTGGAGTCTCTCTAATACTGTTCTAGTCAATATTTCTGAGAGTATAAAAAGAGGGTGTAATATTGCAAGAAGTTTTGATCTTTTGATGGGTGCAAGTAGTTTGAATTTTCTCCTTTCTGCATATGATTTTGTTGAAAATAGTTCCTTTCTTTGGTTCCTTTGTCTGATTTTTAGTTACCGTAACAACTCAGGTATGTAAAGCACAGATGATATGATGTTAAGTATATTTATGTATTATATAAAGTACCTATATTTGTATTAAAAATTTCAGAGGTTATGTTGAAAAAATGATCGATATGCCATTAAACATTAATAATTTAGTAATTAGGTCTGTTGGTAGACCCTGCACTATCTCCACTGGTATATATTAGTTTTGTAATATTTAAATCTGGTTGATGAAAAAGTACACACCAGTGCAGGTTATTGTAGCATCTACGAACAAATGAATTAATGGCCCATTGGCAAATATTCAACACAGCTTAATTAATTAATAAAATGAAAAAAATCACAATCATGTCGTATATAGTTTTTTTTAAGCATAAAATAATTTTTATATTAATACTAGTTCAAAAGTGAAATTACGACCTCTATACTGTGGAGAGTATTGAAACGCTCGATTGACGAATACAACTCTATACCGTAGGGAGATTTAGAAAACGATATTCAAACGTGGCGTCATCCTATACACCTCTATAATTTTCCCTTTGCTGTGCAAATAACATATTTTAACAAAAAAATCTTTATTTTCAAATGACATTCTTTAATTTAACATCGAACCGTCTTATTGGAACACCTTTTATGTTTAAATATTTAAATAAGCTTTAAATGCGCTTTTGTATAGTTGTAATTTTAAAGGGGGGCAACTGCCCCCTTTTGCCCCCACTCCCCTTCCGGCTAACATGGTAGGAAATTCCTACACAATATATTTTCTTTATTTTTGATAAAATAAGTAAGTTTGTTTGTTGGTTCCTATTGAGTTGGCGCAACCATGCAGCTTGGTTCTTGTTGATTTTGAAATTGTGTATGCAGAGTTCTGTATTATTTTTAATATTTTATTTGAGTACCTATCTTTCGCATTTTTATTCCTTACAAATATTTTTAAAAGGCTCCCATTTCATTAATGGATTTTTAAAATAATTTTGAAGGTTCCCTGTTGCATAACTCCCTTTAAAAACATTAATTAGGTATAAAAACGATATTTATTAAAAGAAAAATACATTTTTTGGCCTGTTTTGTAATTATACCAATAATCAAATATATTTTAGTTCCCACAGAAGTGATGTATTTAAAGAGAGAGCATTTTAACAAGTGGTACAGATTGAGTGCATATTTTAGTGCCTTAACAGTATCAACATTGCCATTGCAATTGCTACTGGGAACTGTGTACCTGGCGATAGTATATTTTTTGTCCGACCAACCCTTAGAGTATACTAGAATGATACGATTTTTCTCTGTTTGTTTACTGACTGGTATTATATCAGAGAGTTTTGGACTTCTTATTTCTTCAACGTTAAATATAGTGGTAAGTATACTTTTATAGCATTAAATAAAAGCTCTGTGGAGCGCAACCCTACCTATATTCTTTGATTACATGTTTCGGGTTGTTGAAAGACATTTAGTTAACAGGATATTAGTAATTTAATGCAAAGGCCTGTGCGAGGTGTTTTCAGAACATATTGCAAATGTTCGTTTTTACATCATTTGTTTACATCAATAAAACCAAAACAAACAAACAAAGTAATTTTCGACTAAAAGTTGACTTAAAAATGTTTTGATCTTTTTTAATTAAAACATATTTAAGGGATCCAGGGATCAGAACCTTTTCGAAAAAATTAAGCCGGCGGAAATAACCCGGTTTTTTTCATTTCAAACGAAAAAACAGAAAATTGGGAATTAAACAAAATTGATTTTAGGTTTGTTCCCGTATTTTCCGTAGTACGAATTGGAAAAAATTTCCAATTCTTCATAAAAATTGACTTTTGCATTTATTATCGTATCCGTACTACGGAAAAAATGTCAATTTTTTCGCAAATTTTCCATTTTTTCGTGTAAAAAGCTAGTAGGGTTTTCAAAGCTCGGAAAAAACGATTTTTTTATGCAAGGTGCGAAAAAAAAAAAGAATTTTGTCGGAAAAATTGGCTCATAAGCAAAAATAAAGCATTTAATCATAAACTATAGTTTATTATAATAATAATAATAATAATAATAACGTTTATTGTCCAACAGATATAAAATCCATTTACAGAACAATTACATACAAGAAATTAAAATAAGTCCTAATATTATTAAAAAAAATATAAATACAAAAAGAGGTATAACAAGAGTAGACTAAAACAGGGTTCATACTATTGAATTCGTATAAAATTCCCTGAATTTTCCAGGTTTTCCAGAACTTTCTCAAGCTTTTTCCATAGACTGTGGAAGGTGTCAAAAATTGATATTGATATTCAGGCAAATAGGAAAAAAATAAAAAATAGAATTTATACTTTGCAGTTTTAATAACAGACCATAAAGTTTATGGCATAAACACAAAAATAAAGACATATAGCATAATTCATATTATAATATATGTAGGTAATTCAAAAACAAAACTTTTTTTAGATCTTTTAAAATTTAACTTAATAGTTATAACAAAACATAGAGCATATTTCTCGTAAATACAAACAAAACAAAATTCAAAAATAAGTCAAATAACTATTTTAAACTTTTTCTCTCAAAATTTGTAGACGTCTATTGGTCGTCCACTTCATGGTTGGTTCCTTCAGTTAATTTTTGTTTTTTGTTTTTCAGAACCTTGATATCCGTCATTAATAGTTATTTGTTTTACAAGTGTTGAAAAGCGAGTTTTTAAGTTGCTCACGAGGCCGTTAGGCCGAGTGTGCATTAACACGAGCTTGAAGAAAGCTTTTCTCACAAGTATAACACAATGTTTTTTCTACGACCCTTTTATTTTTTATTATTTTTAAATATAAAACAAAATAACCTAAAAACGTGTTTGACAGCTGAATGTCAAACGATGCTGTCAATTTCTTTTCACACAGACCTGTCACTTTTCACATAGAAATGTCACTTTACATTCGTGTTTTGCCTTGCCAATGAAAAGATTCATTTTCTAAGCAAAGATGCCATCATGAAAAGTGACTTTTACATAGTGGTCGTAGAAAAACAATTTTTCACAATTACGAGAAAGACTTGTAATGTTACTTTGACTTTTGTCAAAGACAAACTGACAGTTACACGGTTAGGTAGTTTAGATTAAAATTGCCCAAGCATTTCGTTTATATTAAATCATAATGTAGATTGCGTAGGGATTAAGTAAATATTATTTTCTTTTATATTATTATTATTATTTTAAGTATTAGTATTATTTACAGATAATTCCCTGACTTTTCCCTGACTTTTCGTTTTTTCTTTAAATTCCCTGACTTTTCCATGAGTTTTTAGACTAATGCTCTTTTTATGTGTATTTTTAAATTAAAAAAAAAACGACAATTCATTGTAACCAAAATTGTAATAATAAATAATTTACTATACACATAATAATAATTTACATTTGTAACCTAAAATATTGGGAAATTCCCTGTAGAAAATCGTTCGAGACTTCAACCATTGATTAACGCTTCAACTTTAAGATACTTGAATTGTAACTCGCCGTTATATGTACACGTAATTTTTACTGGCCATTTAGCGGACCACTGGTGGTCTCTGGAAGCACCCGAAGTGGTCCGCGAAGCCATCGGCGAAAGTTTCGCTACGAGTGAAGTAACGGACGCAGGGCCGGCTTAAGGCAATTGAGCGCCTTAGGCACTTAAAAATTTGGCGCCTATTATTACATACTACACTTAAGGGGCCCTAGGCAAATAAATATAGTTACGTATTATATCACCTCCAACACTGAGAAAAAAGGTAAATTCGAACAAATGCATTTAATTATAATAAAATTATTATTAGGGTAGGTTCAGTACCTACCCTAATAATAATTTAGCAGAGTCTCTGCTGCAGAGATATAAAATTTAAAAATGCATATTATGCAAGTATAATTTTAGTTTTTACTAAAAACTTTTTAGGGTCCTAAAGTTTTATTAAAGATGTACTAAAATAGTAAGTATTTAAAAAAATGTAAAACAACTTTAATTCCCTAAATTTCTTTGTAAGATGTAGGTTTACTAAATGTTTAATATTAACATTTCATAAATAGGTAGGTACCTACCTTAAAACATATAGCAAATTTACACTATCGAAGACAAACAGCTATCTAACATAACTACCTAACTACTGATTAATTTCATCTGAAATAAATTTGTGTAGGGCATAAAAACAGAAGCGAATTTCTTTCGGAACGCGCTTCAGTGCGGCACACGCTTAAAGAGCGGCACGCCTTTGTCGGCTTGACACCGCGTTATTACAAAGGAAGCCGCATTTTTTAAAAATGATTATTTGGTACTCTACCGTACCTACTCATAATTGTATATTGTTTATTTGTTTCATATTTGTAAAACCATTTTTTAAATTTTTTAAGTTGGTTGGGGACAAGGCGCCTATTTCTTCTTGGCGCCTAAGGCAATTGCCTATACTGCCTAATGGTTAATATGGCCCTGAACGGACGGATCCGTTGCCGGGGTGAGGTCTGCGGACAGTGCAGCTGTCGAAAAAGAAAACTTTTCTGCGTTTGATAAGCTGAATCAAATTATTTGATGTACTGTGTTAAAGGAGAAATACAAAATAACATCACACACCATTTGGTAAACTTAAAAAGTGAATTCATTCGCTATTTTCCTGACTGTGAGGGCAAAGTTTCTGAGGTGCCTAATGTAATTCAAGAAAAAGTGATTGAAATGCAACACGATGGTAACTTGAAAGATACATTCGAGGCAGGAATTAATCTTGAAGATTTTTGGAACTAAACGGCAATTTATTTTCCAAAGATTCAAGAAAATTCTATTCGTTGCCTAACTTTGTTTTCATCGACATATCTATCTAACAAGCACCGAAATCGATTGGATGCTAGTGCCGACATGCACTGAACCAAGGATTCAGAAATAAGTAAAGATAATGCAATCACAAAAATCGCGTTATAATATATAGTCTATACTATCACCCATAATATACTTAACAAGTGGTATGATTATCATCGATGATATTTTTGAATTGAAACCGAGCTGCAGATTTCACGAGTCTGCAGGACGAGTGAAATGTGAGTAAATATCATCGATTATTAATCATACCACGAGTTATATTTAGTGAGAAAATATAATGAATTTTAGGGTTTAAGAAATTGTCATTTTGACATTTAAAATTAAAATGTGCTTTAAAATATAAAAAGACTTTAATAAACCTTTTTTATTAAACTTACCTTAATTATCGTTTACACCAACCCTTCAAACTTTTAAAGTTTATAATTCATTATTTTAATCATATGACAAACACAGGATTTAACAAATCGTCACCTGAGAATTATAGTGTTCTATCTGCATTTTTTTTTACATTGAGGTTAATCTTGTTTTTAGTTTTAAAGATGCATATTGTTCTATCTTTATATAATTGGGGTAGAAATTGTACAGTTTAAGCCTTAAACTGTACAATTTCTACCCCAATTATATATAGATAGAACAATATGCATCTTTAAGACTTATAGACCAGTGCAGAAGCCTTTAAAAATGGTAAAAAGGGAAAAAAAATAACAGTAGGATGAAACCCATTGGAAAAGGAGGGGAATATAATAAAAATTAAAGGAAAAATAAATTACGGGCGATCTGAGTTCGGGAAGTGGGAGGGGGGGGGGGGTTTAAGGGTAAAAAATGGTTTATCTCGATTTCCGGCAAAACTACAAGTCCTATGGAAAAAAGTTAAATGGCAAAGTTGTAGGTAATAAAAGGATCTACAACTTTTGTATTTACAATTTTTTTACATAACCTCAAAATTTATGTGAAAAATTGAAAAAAACCAAGTCAATCAAATAAATTACAGTGTATTTGGGACATAAAAAGGTAAGTTTTCACCAAATTTCGTGGAAAAAATTTTTTTTTGAAAAAGATAAAAATAAAAAACCAAAAACTTGGTTTCTTGGATTTTTCACATAAATTTTGAGGTTATGTAAAAAAATTGTAAATACAAAAGTTGTAGATCCTTTTATTACCTACAACTTTGCCATTTAACTTTTTTCCATAGGACTTGTAGTTTTGCCGGTAATCGAGATAAACCATTTTTTACCCTTAAAACCCCCCCCTCCCACTTCCCGAAGTCAGATCGCCCGTAATTTATTTTTCCTTTTATTTTTATTATATTCTTCTCCTTTTCCAATGGGTTTCATCCTACTGTTATTTTTTTTGGTTTCAAAAATTATCGACCCTGGTCTATTAAGTTAAGTTAAAACAAGACTAACCTCAATTTAAAAAAAAATGCAGATAGAACACTATAATTATCTAATGTTAAATTAAGAAAAGTGTCAAAATCCTTAGTAACGTGTAAACAAGGTGATAAAAAATATTGTCGCTGTGATAAAATGCGCAACTATGGAATACT